TTAGCGCAGGCATGATTATTGACCTGTAACTAATTAACGCACCAGCGGCAAGCAGAACACACTTGGCTACCGCAAATTTTTGACGCGTGTGTGTGTTCTTTGGTTCATTCGACGAGTGTCTCCTAAAGAGGAATAAGGCATTACAAGCACTAGGTTCACGAGTACGCCGCTGCCAATGATTCGCATCAAGTTTAGTTTTCCATGGCCTTCGAGATGGCGGACGAGCGGCGCCCGCCATCTCGGAGGCCATCTCGGAGGCCACGAGTTTTAAGGTCAAGTGCAATACGTTGCCGCCGTGTGACGCCAGCATCCCGGCGGCTCACGTTTGCGCCTCCGGTGGCCCAGTTATCCGTGAGCGCTAAAGCGTTTGCCGGCTGGCATTTTGCTCGCCTTCCAGTGAGTGCAGCAAGCGCAAAATTTGGCACTTTAAGCGAGTGTGCTCCTTTCGGCCACTCTTTAAAAAAAAAAAAAGCTTTAGATTTCTAAATCGCCTCGCGGCCCGTGCGCGCGTGTGTTTGTGGGTGAAGCTGTCTTTCAAGGGGAACGACGAGGTGGTAGAAATGTAGGCGCTTGATGGACGGACGTCCTGACGTCTAGTGGGCGAGCCGCGTCAGAGACGAAGACCGAAGCGCGTTTTCACTGCCTGACACACACGGCTGCGGTCTGAAAGGCGAGCGCCGGTGCCAGCAGCGCGAGCTTCGCGACTTTATTTTACTTTACTGCTTTTCTCAACGAAAACCCACAGAGGTAGCAGAAGCAGGGCTGACCCATTTCGGCGGTTTGAACGCGTACTGCGACTGCCGGTAGCTAGTAATAGTTAGCCCTGCTAGCCTGGCTTTCTTGAAGTTTTGGCTACCGGGTTTGGCTCACTTGCAGGCACGCCCCCCCTCACAGGCTGTGGGAAAGGGTTTTTTTTTTTAATTTTTTTTTTTCACTCCCGCCTACTGGCCTGCTCACTTGCGGGTCGTGTTTGCAACCCTAAGCGTCAGAACTCGAATCTGGAAATGCTGATTATAACGGTTTTGCGTTAGGAGAGAGCGGATGTGGCTCAGTAATCTTTTTGGGGGGTTATAAAAAGAAATGTGGGGTTGGATGTGGGAGTGCAGGCAATGATTATCATAAACTCGTTGCTGTACGATCAACTTGTTGCATCTATGGCTTTTTGCATTCACAGGGCATGAAAATGAGTGCCAGGTACACTGCGTAGTGGTTTACATGTATAAGCCAACATTTTTTTCTATTACTGGCACACGCAAAGCCAAAATGACTGATTTGAGATGATAAATCTTAGAAACCTGAGAAATAACAGGTTGACTTTCTAGTTTATAGGTTAGGTTATATTATATGTAAATAATATCATTGTGCAATTTTTATGCTTACTTTAGTCTTGTGACTCCACCAAATGCTCGGTGTGCACACTTCACAAACTGTAGCATCTCCTCAAGCATAAAGTGTTCACTTTAAACATGCATTATTATGACTTCAGATGAGCTGGAGAAGAAAAGGAAGATTGAGAGGGAGAAGAAGGCTCTTTTTATTTTCTTTATTTATTTGCATCATAATGATCAAGCAGGGCTATGGAATAAGGGTTCATGCTTAACATTTTAAAGCAAACGTCCTTCATTTTTCTACTGTCCCCGTTTCTCTCCCTAAAGTATGCAGCACATCTTAAAATAGCTGTCGCTTCTTCGATTCAAGCACTGTCTGAAAACACATCGTGACCACTTGTGTGATATTTCTTGGCAATCTTTATCTCTCCCATTAAGCACTTGTCATTGTCGATGCTAGCCACTATCTGTTTGAGCTTTCCCACCAAATTGACGGATAACTAAGAGTAGCTTTGCTAGCAGTCGGTGAAACCTTCCTTTCTGTAGGCCTTTTCTTCTTATTATTTATGTCTCACGATGACAAGAAAACAATCCCCGATCCTCCCAAAGTGAAGGACGCATGCTTTCCATTCTCCACGCTTAGCTGGGGTTTCCTTATCACCGACTTGTTTGTCCAGCCGGACTATTTCCTCTTCTGGGTTCTCCTTACACAGTCCTCCAGCCGCTGTCCGCACATTCTTTCCTTATTGTTGTCCTGGGCTTGCTCCGTATTACCAGGCTCTTTCTCTGCTATTACTCTGTAACTAAAAAAAAAAATTGGCTGCCGATGCTCTCAAGAGCCTTGTTGGCATCACATGCAAATGAAATTAAAGTAATCGTGCCTCTCTAGTCGCTCTTTCCCACTGTTGTGTGTCTTTTTCTGTGTGTCTTTTTCGGTGAAAAAAATGGAGAGCCTTAGGGCAATTGTCACCAATTCGCTTTTGCAAAAGTAAAAGCAGGAAATGACGTATTAGTTCGTTCAGAGAAGTAGTTTTGCATCCTCAAAATAATGTTTTGTATTTCACACATACATACCCACATATATTGCAGCTTCATGTTGGAGTGCTTGGGAGTTGTGCAATGGTACAGTGCACAAAAGTTACTAAGTATGCACATGTTTGTAAGGCTTTCACTTGAAGCCTTTCGTAATGCATTTAGTTTTCGATGGTACATGCATGTGCATGTAAGGCTTACGGTCAACAAAGTCTTTTGTATTTACATTTCAAAATGACTGTAGAACACCCAGAACACATTGGAAAACACATTGTTAAACATGATCTTTGTGTGCTGTGTTACACTCGTGCCTATTGTTAGGCGTACATCATGACCTGGCACTCCGTTCTCACTAACCAACAAGCCAAGCAGGCAACCATAGTCAATATAATTGCGGTTAAAGCATATATATTGACTTGTCTCAACAGTATCTTTAGTGAGGACCTTCCTTGTCAGTGAAATGCATTGTGGAGGCAAAAACTTAAGGAGAAAAAGCTTCAAAGCATTTTCTCAAAGTATTTTTTTTTCTACCTAGAGTGAGGAGTGCAATTTATTCTACGAATATTTTATGCCATTAGGTTAGGTTAATCTTGCTATAATTCCAGTATCTCCTTCTACACTGCTTTGTGTACACAAGTCTTATAGTTTAAATAAGGTGGTTCCTTGCAAAATGTACCATTTAGCAGAAAGCTTTTGGCACAGTCATGCAACTGGAATATTAATTATATGTTTTAAATGGAGCTGTTTTATCCTTGTGCTAGTGAACCTGAGGCAATCGTGTCGTGGTTTTATGCTGTAGCTTCCCAAACTTCAAGAACTCTCTTTTCTTGACTACATGGAAGTAATAAGTTTCCACATGCTCGCACATTGTGGGGAAAGGTTAAATTTGCACTGAAGTAGTTTTCTTTTTTATAATTTTTGTCATGGTATTTGGCACTTATGAATCAAGGAAATAAAAATTTAGACACATCGATGTGCTGCCCCGCTATTCATTCTGCCGCGCTGTAATAGTGGTTACGGTACTCAGGTGCTTGCCCAAAATTTGCAGGATCAATCTCAACTGTGGTAGTCCAATTTTGATAAACATGAAGTGCTAGAAGCTTGTGTGGAACGTCAGATGGTGGAAATTTCCGGAGCCCTTTACTATGATGTACCTCATGATCAAATCATAGTTTTTCATCTGAAACCCCTGAAATAGTTATCAATATTATTATCGTCGGGGATTTTTGTAATAAATGCTGGAACTGCAATATTGTAAGAAAGCTTCCGTGCACGTGCTCCCTCTGCCTTTTTTTTTATTTCATCATTACACCATTGTGTCATTAGTCTTATCGATCACATTAAATAGTTTCACATTGCCAAGTATGCAGTCGCTATTCTGGCATTGCACGCATTGCAGCGTGTGTGTGGCACTGTGCAGGCTTGATGAAATGCTTTGCAGAATTTCACCAAGTGTGCAAATGCAAGGGCGACACATTACATGCGGTGTGCAAATGCCACATGCAATGTGTGATGTCATCCAGTGTGACTGCCCTGCCAAGGTCTGCACAGGCTGCTTTTCTCGGTCATGTCAGTGCCGATAATTGAGGTTTTGAGAACACCTCAAGTATTTGCGGAGCTCTCAAAACTGTACTGAACAACTCTCATTCCTTTGGTCGGAGAGCTGCTACCGATTGCTGCGACCTTGTTTTCGTTAGCATTGCTGTTGATAGTCGTGGCGTTGACTGTCTTTCCTGTGTTCACAATGGAGGTGTTATCGGCTCACGGAGTGGTAGACGTAAGCGTAGTGGCTGGATTACTTTGCAAGGGTGTCCTTGCAGTGCATGTGACTGTGACGAATGCAGCCTGCAAGACATCGACAGTTGTTAGGCTGCTTTATTTTATGTTGCTTTATGTATTTCGGGAAGGATCAAGTTAAAATGTTCATAAAATTATTTTTAAAAGTTTTGGACAAGTCAAATCTTGGTGAAGGTATGACGGACTACTGGGCCAACTAAGATGTGCCGCTTTTCTTGCTACTGTATGATTGTTGTATAACAGTGATACCAAATAATTAAACTACAAATAACTAGTTTTTTTAATTCTACACAACGAATTTGGCACAATGTTTTTTTTCTTTCTTGACTTCTTGCGTTTTAGTTAAGGCACTGTAACACTAGGCTAAGGTACACACAACATTTTATTAGTGCTGCTAGCTGTACAGAAAGTTATCTTGGCACAATTGTACCTCCTTATGAATGCCGTGTCGTTTCTCTTGGGGCTACTTAACACAATTATTCACATCAGTACCTCAGCCAGAGAATCTTTTTTTTTTTGGGGGGGGGGGGGGGGGGTGAATGCTTAAAATGAATTGCAGATCATGTAATTTAGCGTGAGCATTCCTTTTGTGACTTTGTGCATATGTTCCTCGAAGTGAGTTTTTGTGGAACTCCTCACGATAATGGGAAGTTGTAACCTCTCCATTTACTTAATTCTCATGAAATGCCTGTGAAAGAGGAATTGATTTTGCAAGTTTGTCTTGTTAGTCAAATGAAGTAAGAGATGTTCCAACATAGTTGTTGAAATATTTGACCAACTTACCATTTGCAGCGCAGTTGAGAAACATGGGAACCTGACAAATTGTGTTATTCCATTGTGCAGGTGTTGTTCATGAGCATCCCCGAATCGGCTCGGATGGCGAGAGCGAGGAGGCGTCCGGTGCTTCGGACGAGGTCATCTCGCCCGTGCGGCTTCGGCCCAAGACCAATAACAACCGAAGAACCAGTCAGGTAAAGTTATTTCTTGGACTGTTTGCACATGGATAGCTAGAGTAGTGGCTTTCTTGCATCCTTTTCACACCAAGGGGTAAAGTGCAGTAAGAATAATTCAGACAACACCCATTTCCAATGACAATTAAACAATGCCATGTGGCAGCAATTTATCTCAGCACATTACCGTACTGTACTGGCAAAACCAAGCAGCCAGCAAACAACATAAACCTTGGGAATGACTGGTCGTGTTTGATTAAAGAAATTTCACTCCTGATGGTATTGTAGTGAGGATATTCATATAGATAGCTAGTACTATATAATAAGTGGTGGGTAAGCTGTTTTGCATGGCATTGCAAATTATAGTCTGCAAGCAGCACATCTGTCGAGGTAGCTAGTTTCGCTTAAATATATAGGGCGGGCATGCATAGTTGAATAAATGTGGTCTCGTTATTACATGCTCGTTCATTTTCTTGAGGGGCAGAATAAGTCTGTAATCCTGAAATCAGTGTATGTCAGTGCAACCGCTTTTTTAAAATAAGAACCAAACTTTTGGGAACAGTACACAGCGTTTGTATTAAAATCAAATGTTAGCAGCAACATTGTGCGTGTGTCAAAACAGTTGCATCTGCAATCTATTTTGATACCCTTCACAGGGAGGGGGAGTCAGCGTGATGAGGTCAGCTCAGTCAGTCCTTCGATAACATCGCTGGTGTCGAGTGACTGCCTGACCCTGGCAGCAGTTGCTTCAGTCTCCACTTACGAGGCCCTTCCTGTCCCTCTTGCAGTCACAGTCGTCATCTGCAGCTCGACTCCTTCAATTAGCGTAGCCGAAGAGTGTCGCTGGCGTTTCTGTGACTGTTTTCTTTTCCCATTCATTGAGCTTTCTACATGTGACCCACTTCATCTTGCCAATGCGCCTCAGCTTCAGGCACTTTGAACTCGACAGCTGTGAAATTGGCCAGGACGTCCTTCGCTGGGATAAGATTACACTTAACGTGGGGCATGTAAATAAGCAAAGGCATCTTCTTTGTTTCGTCTAAATGGTGACCTCTGGGTCCTGAAATATGAGGAGCGTTGCTCAAAGAAGACGTGGTGTATAGAAGCACGCATAAATGTGAATGTACAGACACTGTGCCACGGAAAGCGCACACTGCAACCTTTTACACTTAGATTCTTGACTTCCTTCTTTACTTTTCCCTTGTGGACTGCCATTTATTCTATGTTAACAAAACGACAAGATGACGTGGGGTCCTTGGAGAGACGTTTCTGAATTCAACGAAGTGAGGACTTGGGCAAGTCCATGCATACTTGCAGCAGGAACAGCGTGCAAAGACTAAATACATGTTTGTCCCCCTTATTTGTTTCTCGTCTTTAAGCGCCGTTGCCTGCAAGGGGGATCCAGCAGTTGTGATGCGCGACTGTTGACACTAAGGTCACACGATTGAATCCCTGCCATCATGGCCTCATTTTGATACAGGCGAGATGCTGGAGGCCTGTGTGCTTAGATTTAGGTGTATTTAAAAGAACCACGGGTGATAACAATTTCTGGAGCCCTTCACCACAGCATCTATGATAATCATATTGTGGTTTCAGTATGTTAAAACTAAGAATTATTACTATTTGTGCGCTGTTAACCTGGCACAATATTAAATTTGTGCGGGGTCATTATAGGGTGTTTAGAAATAGAATGGAAGACTTTTGGAATATTTGGGATGGGTACGGAAACTTTGCGGCTGGAATGCCAGTGGCAGAGCGTTTCAAGAAGCATTTGACATGGTAGGGGAGAACAATGGCACCGAGCATGCCCCGCCTTTGTTTTCAGCTGTCAGGGTTTGTTATGGAGGCGGCCCAAGCTGTCACTCATTTTTTTGGGCACGCACTGTACCTTCATTTGGTCTCCTGCGCAGTTGTGTGTACTCTGGCAAGTTTTCTTTGCTTGCTTATTATTTATTTTTTCTGTGCTCCTGACTTCGCTGCAATTGGTGAACGTGTTGTTTTCGACAGGATCATTGAAGCGTTTTGAGAAAGACACACTTGCGCTCTTATAGGGATAGGGGCCGGGGGCTCAGCTTCATGTTCTAGGTATCGCATTGGCAGGTATGGCAGAGAATAAGGGTGATGGCGGTGGCAGCGGCCTTTGTTGTTGCATCGAGGGAAGCTTCTGTAACGGAGTACAAGTGTTACAGAAGCGACGTAGGAATACTTATTGCACTTTTTTCCATCCCCCAGAAAGAGTACATAGTGTGTCGTGTGTGAAGTATAAATATAGGTATCTGTCATTTAATTCAGCGTAAAAGTGAATATGATGAAGTATGGTGTAATCATTGCCTGGAAGGTGTCGCATATTCGAGTCAATTTACCTGCTTATCATTGGGCAAGCAGTGTGACACATTCTTCGTTCATGTGACAGTCGTAAGACCAGAACTTCACAGGCACATCGAGTGTGATGGTTACTCTGATTCAGTATAGCAATACGCATGTCATGAATGTTATTAAAACATGGTATATGACCTTGCAGAGTTGTTTTACATATAGTCCTAATTATTACATGGTACGTGTTGTAGACAAAAAGAAAAAGCAGCTGCTACGTGAAAATTGCAGAATCTGATTCGTGTGACAACATGCTTGCACAACTTCTGCGTTTCCTGGCAAGCCCGAGATGGAGTCTATAGTGGCAATAAATTGTGTAGAAAGAAGCATTGGTGTTGCATGCAGTGTGTTAACTTTGGTTGGTTGCTTTCTTCTAGCCCTCTTTTGTACACCCTTTCCTTGTATTTTACCGCTGGTTTAAGCATTGCTCTAATGCTTCATTCTCTCGGCCTCCTTGTGCAGTCCGACATTAGCAAGCGGTTGTCGCTGCCCGCTGATCTGCGGCTTCCGGAGAGCTTCCTCAACAAACAGCAGCAGGTCTTGGATGGTCCCCTCAGTAGGTCTATCCGAAGGCAGTCACTGGTACGTATAAATTGCCAATGTTTCCCCTGTGCAACCAGTGACAAATGTTTGTGGGACGGGGGCTATGCATCGAATCAGAAGTTAGGCTCTGCATTATGTGGCTAATCCAACCCTTGAGATGGTTTGTATACAATTATGCCCACTATTATGTGTTGGGGTTTGGACTAATTGCACCTTCTCGATAATGAATGTGTCTTCATTTGATTTTATTTCGTAGTGTACTGTTATACATGATCACTTTACTAAAGTCAAAAGTGTAGTTTTTATTTCCTCGAAATGAACACAACTGAAAACAAATTTTCAGTGTATTTTTACCTTGCATACAATTCTATTTAGACAAAAACAAAATGTAAATCACTTCAGGACAGCTTTGTATTTAATTATGGTTTAATTGATTATTATAAAATGCATGTGGTAACATATGCCATTTTTGTGGCAATAAAATATCAAATACCTTGAAATATTATTGTGTAAGCTTGACACTCTTGGAGGCATTTCTTAGTAGGTGCCATTTGAAAGGGTTAATGGATAACACCATAGGTAACAAATATTACTACTCACTGAAACCCTCATTTAGAGCCCACAGTAAACATTAAGGACTAATTCAGCTTTTTCGCAAATCTCACATCCCCTAATCTTAAGTAGCAAAATGTACTGTGAAGTAACCAGGCGTACCAGTAAATAGAAGGCAGCAACCTAATGAGTGTTATGATTGCGAAAATTGATTGCAGTGCAAGTGAGGCTAACTGAAATAACTGAGAGATTGGACCTTCCAATAATAAATTATACAAGAGTGTCAGTAGTGCTAATGTTGACAATGGTAAAGAAGTGGTTGTACGGATCGCAAATTCAATACTGAAGTTGTCTCAACTTCAGGTGACTAATGTTGGCGAACACCTTGTTCAAGAAAACGAACATAATAATGCAGAGGTACTTAAAACGAGGGAAGTGTGTGACGCACCTTTCTTATATTATATTGTCATTGTAATTAAGGTAGTTGTCTCTGCCATTATTTCAGTGAATAGCTTCTTTCGGTTATTAATAGGTTGTTTTGTTTGCTTTTGGTAATGCAGGACTGTTACACTTATTGTGCTTTAACAACAGGAATTATCGTTCTTGGTTGCTGTTTTTTCTGATGATAACGGAAGACTTGGGCTTGTGACCTGTCATGTGTATTCACAATGCTCGCTGGTCACCTGTACTATATCGGTTCATCTTGCATTAGTAATTCGCGGGTCGTGGTTCCTCGGGCAGTCGTTCGCAAGGAAAGGCAAGTGAATCCTTTAGATTCCGTGAATGCAGCTGCAAACCACATCATGCCATAATGATATCTTGTTTATTTTTTCTTCTGTATGCAGTCTGAAATCGGGTTTGGGAAGATGGAGACCTACACGAAATTGGACAAGCTGGGGGAGGTAAGAGCAGCGGCGATTCCTTTCCATTTGAAGTTTATTAAAGACCACCTCAAACAACACAATCCGCTTGGGAAAGTTTCTGGGACCTAATGGCTTTGCCCAATGGTCTCGTTGCATGTTATTATATATGTGCTATAGCGACCATCTTGCTCTGTCACCCGCACCCGTAGTAGCCCCAGTATGCGAAAAGCTTGCGTGTGTGCACTTCATGTCGCAGCAGCTCAGTGCCCCGTATATTGTCACTTGAGACAGCTGCTTTGACTGCTTTTTTACTTGGTGCGAGTTGCGGGCTGTAAAAAGACTTACTTTGAAATATTTTAATGCATTGACAATTAGGACCAGCAAGCTGAAGCGCTTGTATAATTTCTGGTGAACCTATTTTAACTTAATCTGGTCTCTAAAATTTGTAGCTCACAAGGTCTCTTATGTGGTCGCCTAAGATGACTCGACGGTGAAAGCAATCCTTTTCTTTTTTTCTTCTCAGTCGATGTACCATCAAACCACGATATAACAAACCCAGATATAACGAAACATTGGTTATAACGAAGTAGATTATGAACAGTTATGCATCAGATATAGTGTTAGAAATATATTTTTATAACAAATTATCTGATATAATGAACCTATTTTTGTGTACAATGAAACTTCATTTTAATGAGCTTTGAGTGCTGATATTCCCCTCCCTCTGAAAGCTTTCTGAACCTAGCGTATTTCTGCACTGCCTTCCTAATCAGCGCACCTTCGAGCTAGCAACGGTGCCACTGGATGACATTATGATGACGTCCTTAATTTTGACTGTCTGTGAAGTCACGTTAATGCTGATGATGCTGATGATCAATTTTCGCAATTCGTGAGGCAGGCATCTAAGACATTTTGCTTTAAAATGTGAAACATTGACTGGACATAAACACTTTTAGAGTTTCTTTAGATTGCAGTTGAACCCCTTTATAAGACACACGCACTGGGTAAGAGTTTTTGTTTTTATATGAGGTGTCTCTTATAAACATGTGCATCTTCTTATCTACCCATATTTTACCTATTTCACTCTAGGCACAGTGGTGTCTTTACCCATATGTCTGTTACATCGGTAAAGGGGTTTGACTTTGTCAGGCACAGGGTGTTCTGAAATGAAATTTCTATTGATATTGTATGAGAAAGCAGGGATTGATTATCATTGTGTTTTGCATTTGCTTTAAAGAGTGCATTTGACTACTTGGTGAGCTTAAGGCCTAAGGGGATGTTAGTAGTGGAGATGCCTTGAAGTGATTCGATCTTGTTTGGCCTGCAGGGGACCTATGCCATGGTGTTCAAGGGCAAGAGCCGGCTGACGGACAATTTAGTGGCCCTCAAGGAGATTCGGCTAGAACACGAGGAGGGAGCGCCTTGCACTGCCATTAGAGAAGGTGGGTGTGACCACCAGACGCTTCTGTTAACGCTGGTTTGCGCTGTTAGCATGGTGTTCCCTGTTGCCTTATCTATGAGACTTGAAATGGCGTTGTCTGTTGAAACTGAATAAAAGCTTCAGAGTAAATAAATTGTCTTGGTCATCTTCCACTTTCTTGTATTCATTCCAGCCTGTATTCTATGCTTTCATGCTTTTAATCACTTTTATGTGTTTTTTGTCATTGCAGTTTCACTCCTCAAGGACTTGAAGCACAACAACATAGTTACTCTACACGACATAGTTCACACAGAAAAATCTCTCACTCTCGTCTTTGAATACTTGGTGAGTGCTGCTAGGCCATGCTAGATAGTCTGTGTACTACGTGCAATAATAAATAAAATATGTAGTTGCTTTGTGTACACTTTACTCATTGAACTGTGGTGCTTTCATTTTGTCGGTGCAGGAAAAAGACTTGAAGCAGTATATGGATGACTGTGGAAACTTTCTCTCAATGAATACTGTAAAAGTAAGCACACTGTTTCTGGCTTTATGTTGGAAGCACTGCATGTGCATCTGTGTTTCTGTATCTCCTGAGCCCTCACTGATGTCATGATAGTCCTTGTGCACAACCTATCAGTGGATTGGGCTGCTACGCAGCATAATAACACCTGTAGTAAAAACATCTGCATTTCTGTTCATTTCATGACTTGAAAAGCAGGAAAAAACCACACTGCAAAGGAAGCCGTAGTTTGCAACACCTAGGCAATCTTATTTTCGACTCATGAGCCTCACAGGCTGTCAAGATCGCACATGATTTCTTGGTTTTTTACACTATCTGATGTCAAATTACCGCTTAGTATTTGAATGCTTCTAAGCATAAGTAGACTGGTGTTAATCTATTGCTGACTGTAAATATGCATATATAGTGAAATCCTTATTTATCAAATACGTATATAAAAATGATAGCTTATGCCAAAATCGTTTCAATATTATTATGAATATGCACTCACAATGAAATTTAAGATATAACGAAGCTTTTTTAGTGCCAGATGCGGCTTTGTTGTTCCAATGAGTTTCGATATGAGTGGGAAACTAACGTCACATGGCGGCTCACTTTTTGTGTGTGTGCGTTTATGTGCAGTGCTTTCTGTTTCAACTTCTGCGTGGCCTGGCATATTGTCACGGGCGGCGCATACTCCACCGAGACCTCAAGCCTCAGAACCTGCTCATCAATGAGCGGGGAGAGCTGAAGCTGGCCGACTTTGGTCTGGCGCGAGCCAAGTCGGTGCCCATCAAGACCTTCTCGAACGAGGTGGTCACCCTGTGGTACCGGCCACCGGACGTTCTCCTAGGTTCCACCGACTACTCCACCTCCATCGACATGTGGTAAGTCACTCGTGAGCACTCGTTCAGCTCGCCTCTGATAAAATGGCGTCCACCGCAGTCCATCACTGGTAACGGTGCTTGACGGCACCGACTCGAAAGCCGTGGGCTCAGTCCCGGTTGTGGAGGTCACATTTTGATGGTGGTGAAATGACAGAGGCCCTTCTACATTTAGATTTACGTGCACATTAAAGGACCCTAGGTGATTGAAATTTCTGAAGTCCTCCTCTACAGCAGTCCACGTATTCATGTCGTAGTTTTTGCTCACAGTACCCCAGATGTTGTTGTTGTTGCTGTTGTTATTATTATTAGTGAATAAATTGGCTTATGATGCAACAATGCAACAGTGAAGGGAGAAGCACTGATGAGTTACTCTTCGTAAAAGTGCCTTGCAACTTTCTCGCTTTTTGAGTGGAGTCGCAAAGTAAGCATCTTACAATATATGTGCGAATCATAATGTCCATACTCCAGAACGGCCATCTTTAGGACAAATCAGTTTACTGCGCAAGTTCAGTGGTGAGAGGTAGGAAAATTGTAACAGGCAGTACTGCTTTGCTGCAGAGAATTATTGCTTGTTTTTATCTGTATAATTCCTTGGGTTATTGCTCATCCATAACCATCTTTAAAGTTTAGACACTTTCAATGGTATCATGCGTGTTCATGAATAAAATTTACGGTTCACATTTCCTAGTGGGCCGCATACCGATTGGCTAGGCTTTGTGTCTGTGTTGGAACATGCCTTTCGGTTATTGTTATTTGCGGTGTTCAAATAATTGTAGCATTAAGATTTTGCTTACTGTGTTTTCAGTATTTCCATTAAATTTGAAGCCGAAAATTTGTTCATATTTAGAAAGAATTGTATATATTTTTAACCATGTGGAAGCTGGCAAAGTTCCTCTATGATTGTATTTATTAATTAATCAATGCCCCAAATTGCAATAAATTGGGTGTTATGTGAGAAAGAGCGACAAGTTCACTAGTTGTTGCTCAGCAAGATTTGAAATGTCATAGGTTTGACTGCGCACCGAAAGATACCGTAGCGACTGGGGTATGCATGTTTCATGTTAAATGAGAGCAGAGCGTACAGCCGCTCTGCTAACTGTCCCAGTAATCACCTTGCCCCCTTGTTGTCACTCAGGGGCGTCGGTTGCATCTTCTACGAGATGGCGAGCGGGCGGCCCCTCTTTCCGGGCTCCACAGTGGAGGACGAGCTGCACCTCATCTTTCGCACGCTAGGCACCCCAACGGAAGCCACCTGGCCTGGCATCGAATCCCGGTCCGAGTTCCTGGCCTACCGCTTTCCTCGGTACACGCCCGAGAGCTTGGGCTCCAAGGTTCCGCGCATCGGGGCGCCCGGCGTGGCCCTCCTGCTCGAATTCCTCAAGGTAAGCTGGCTGATTGAAGAAGGCTCAACATTGCCCATTACCCGAGGAACCATTCTCAAAATGCCCACTCAGTTGATTGTTCATTTCAGCTGCCACAGATAGGCCAGAGAGAGCTTGTAGCAGTGGGTCCCATTTGTTTGCGGCCGTTCTTCCTCAGCGTCAGTTTAGTGTCGCAGAGCTTTAACAACTTTGGATATGAAGGAGGAGAATGGAAGAGACTTAACCCAGTTAATGCAGCCATTAAGATTCATTTTTGGCTGTGTGAATCTCTGAGGTTCTGCGTCAACTTTGATTCTGTGACTGCGTCAGTCGTCGAGTTATGTTTAGTACAGCCTCCTGTTTAACGCATCTGGGACAAGGTCATATGCAAGGACGGACTTTCAAGGATTGATTAAGGTTCAAGTGTTTTGTAACTTTGTATCTCTCACTTTTCCCTAAAGCTGGCAGTATGCTGTGTGGGTCCGGTGCATCTATGTTGTTAGTACGTATATACTCGTGTAAGGGCCGCACTTTTTTTTCGAAATTATTGCTTGGTGCGGCCCTTACACAAATCACGCTGCTGGCGGCTCACCAAAGGTCTGTACCGTTTTCACAATGGTAGCAGAGTGAAAGACTCACGAATGACTAGCCAGGAATGTTTTTATTAAGATCCCATTTCGCTTTCACTGTCTTCATCACCGGTAGCACTCGCCTCATCGTCGCCATCCTCCCAGAGAAGATCATCCTCAGTGCCACTCATGCAGTTTGAAATTCCTGTTACTTTGAAGCTTCTCGCGATAACTTCAAATGAAACGACATGCACGCACTCAAAATCCACTCACAAACTTGTTGCAGTGATGTTCGCTTCAGCCGTCCCGTCGGCGTCTTCTCATGATTGATCCCGGTCATCCATTCCGAAAAGCAGCGGCAAATTTCCGCTTTAAAGGGGCGGTTAATGCATACATCGAGCGGCTGCAACACACTCATCAGTCCTCCAGAAATAACGGCCTAGTCTGTACGAGTCGTGGCGAGTCTGTTCTTGACGCGGTCCGCCAAGTGGCCCCTAAAACTATCCAGAAAGAGGAGGGCTTTCCGTTGTAGCAGGCCTCCAGGTCTGTTTGCCCAGACAGTCTTCACCCAGTCCACGACAAGTTCCTCGCACATCCAACCCTTTTCTTGGGCACCCACAATGATGCCCTGAGGGAACTCTCTTTCCGGAGAGTCTTCCAGTTGAACACGAGGTACGGCGGAAGTTTCCTGCCGTCTCCTGTCACGCACAGCATCACGGTGCACCTTTGACGTTCTGCGTCGGTCGTGTGCACAGTCACAATTTTCGCACCTTTTGAGTCCACTGTGGTGCTCTCTGGCGCATCGAACCACACAGGAGTCTGGTCCGCATTGCCAATTTGGGAGAGGTCATATTCGTGCTCCCTCCGAAGACCATTGATGAAGCGATGGAATTTTATCACTTTACTTGTGTACTCGCTTGGCAGCCTTTGACAAATCGTCATTCAGCGGCGGATGGAGAGCTGGTTGCGGTTCATAAACCGCGGTATCCCATCTCCAACTTGCCTTGAATTGTGTCTGGGGGATTTCCATGTGGCGAGCGATGTTTAGGGCTTTCTCGCGTATCATATCAGCTAATACAGCGGAGCCGTCCCTTCGAGTGTCGATGGTATATTTGAGAAGTTTGCCTTCCAGTTCTGGAAACTTCCACTTTTTCTTGCATAAGGCTTTTCGGCCCCAGTTGGTAGCAGCAAGGGCATCTTTCTGCTTCATCTAATAACGCATGCGCTTCTCATTGACTTCGTACTTGTGTCCAGCTTTGCCCTTGCCGTGCTCCTCGACATATTCAATCACTTGCAGTTTAAATCCTGCAGTGAACGACCCCAAATGCCGACTCATCGTCCTTCAGCTGCACTTGCTCAATGACATGGATTCAACGAAAAGGTGTCGACTCGATGCGAACGATGCGCCACACAAAGTAAAAATGGCGCCGCCCCGTTCGTCACCAACACAACGGCTGAAGTTGAAAAACTGGAAGCGCCATTTGGCCACAATCGAACTAACTGCACCTTTATGGTGTGACTTTTTTTAATTTTTCTAATGTTTCTCTCCAAAGTAAGGGTGTGGCCCATACACGAGGGCGGCCTTTACACGAGTACATATGATAGTAGCGTGATGACGTCATGGCTAGCTGCCATCTGAGGTAACTGGATGCGCTATGCCGAAAGGGACATGTTTACTAATATAGACAATTTGAAAATAGCTCCCCAGTGTAGTAAACTTGTCATAGTGTTACAGGCTCTAAGTCAACATTGATGTCGTGGCCATCTTAGCGTAATCCTCTCGATTTGGGGATGAGCGATGACTAGTGTTTTCCTGGCTTCCGGTATTTTTACTCACGTACTACCGTTACTGCTTCGCAATGATTCATGTTGGGTTGTGTTAGCTTGCTATCGGCTTTACGACGTCTATTGTTGGCAATTGTCTCTTATAAAAGTGGCGATATCTTCTTTGAATATCAATACTGATCAAGTAGTTTGCTATTCTGAAAAAAAAAGTTGCAATAATTCAAATAACATTCCTCACCTCCACTCTTTCATCATAAGTGGGAAATCAGGTTCATGTTAATCGGTGACATCATAATACAGAATATGACACCTAATATGTCATGCACAGTTTCTTTACGTTCTCTCACTTAGTACATGGACAAGGATCTCAGACAAGGAGCTCCTTTCATGCCGCCCTTTTTTCTCTTTCATTCTCTCACAGTTCGAACCAAAGATGAGGATCTCAGCAAAAGATGCAATGAGGCATTCTTACTTTGACAGCTTGGGGCCAAACATCCACAAACTTCCGGACAGTAAGTGGTTGTTCTCACTTTCACTGGATTTGGTGCCCTTTGTAAACTAATAATAAACGTGCACAGCCTGGGTCACCTATTTCTCACAACTCATTTTGCTCGCGCTTGTCGGTTCTGAAACATTGGGAATGCCTGTGTAAAGTTTAACAATCGTGCTCAGTCTTCGCAGATTAGAACAATTGCTTGTGGTAACCTCGTCATGCCGCTAGAAATCTGGACCCTAAAACCTGATGCGAGTTTTAGAGTCAAAATTGCGCTGACACGACGCGAACTGTGCACGCTTGAAACGAAGGTATGTACAGTACCCAGCTCCAAATTGTGTCACCTCATTTCATGGGTGCTGAGAATGTTAATGGTTTTTTCTCTTTGCATGTACAGGATCAAACCGTGCGTGCACTTTTGCTTTTGGTATCAAAGAAAGAATGCAGAAACTCTATGCATGTTGGTTTAAATGCACATTAAGGAAAGTTGAGCGGTCGAGGTCTGAAGTCGCTCAGTACTGTCCCATGACGATGTAGTGGTTTCTGTGCATCAGGTTCTAAAATTTGATTTCTGCTTGTCGGTGATACCTACCCATGTGATTATTTCAAGCGACGCGCTCTTTTCTGCAAATAACCTTTATTGCTAAATAATTTTTTGTGATGTGCCTGCCCTCTCCAAAGGCATCACATGTCTCCTGTTTCTCTCGGCATTAACCTCACTTTGTACGGATTTTTTTCCACCTTTGCAGCTGCTTCAATCTTCACAATACCCGGGGTACAACTGAGTCGGACGGCAAGTTAGTACCAGTACTTCTTCAAATAGGTGTGTGTCTGCATTTTGGCCCGGTTTTGTAGCATTCCCCTTTGTTTTATTTGTGTGTATATTTTGCATGTTCGTGTCACCGTGCATGCCAATCGTATGCCTGTCCTAGAGGCCGGCCAGATTTTTCGACCAAAAAGCGTAGCGTGAGCACGAATTATTTGTACATTAAGTATTAAGCATGTCTTTGTTGCAAAACTGAGTCTGATGCACAACACATGCCAGCATGAAGCAGTTAGGAATTTATGTACTCTGCTCTTGTTTCCTGATTACTGCCAGTCTTGGCGCTAAGGAGACATGTAATACATTCAGTAAGTTTCACGCATTGTCTTTTATTAAGCGGCTACATTACCTCTCTTTTTGAACTTCATTCTAATTTACGAGTGAAAGCTTGTTCATAAATAGAATTGCTCAAAGAAGGATGGTTTGTGGTGACTCAATATTTGATTTTATCGAATAACATAAAATAACATGCATAAAACTTTAATGTTTCTTCGAGCCTTGCTGCAACATGCTTGTGGTGTTAAAAATTAGTGATAGAAATTGCATTCATTTCAAGGGAAGCTGCATTAAAATTTAACTTTGGCACAATTCATTGGGAACTAGTGGTTGTATGCCGCTGAAGCAACCTTGGCACAACTGTAATAACTGACCCTCTTCTTGTTGGGGTTTTCTTTTTTTTAGATGGTTAGTAATTGCATAGTTATTTTGCAAGTGCATTCCAATGATGTACACTTATGCAGCCAACATTTGCACCCTGTGGCTATGGCTATGACGTGGGACCAAGCATGCCACTTTTGAGATATTTCAGTTCATCCTTATGTTTGCATGTGTATATGCTTCTCTTTCTCTCTTTCTTTACTCTTCTTTGAATCTTCCCCGTCTCTTGCCCTGTGTGTGTAGTGTAGCGTACCGGTTGTGCCAAGCCAGATAATATCCCTGCATTTCCTCGCTTTCGTTTTCCTTTCTTCCTTGTCTCGAAGTCTAGTCTGGGAGATGCACATTTTTATGTCAAGCCCTTTGTTGTGCACCGCCACCGGCAAGCACTGTCTATACAGAGCAGTGGTCTCTAAAGCAGCAATGTCTATAGTCTGATACAGCTTATCGGAAGAAACACGCTTCGATGCGTATGGGTTACTCGGTGGGCATGGTGTGTGAAATTCCGCTTGGTTGTGGTCGCGTTTAGATCAGCTAAACTCGTCAGTGTTTGAGCATCAGAGTTAGGGAATATGAGCTGTCTCTTCGAAAGAATTCGGCAGCACATTTGCCTGTTTGCACATATGTATACTGTTTGCACATGTGTATATTTTTCTGCATTTTTTCATACGAATAAATCAGTTGAGTGAACCCTTTTCTTTGTGCTCCACTTTATTCTTGTGGTATTTGAAGCCTGCGAAATTTTTTTTTTCAATATGAATTTATGCTGTGAAAGATGTTCCTACTGTTGGCATTCAACAGGTGTGATGCCTGATCTGCTGGTTGAGTGACTCTGCCTAAAGGCCCGAATCTTCTTTCTTCCCAGGTCTTCGAGGTGACCGCAACGCACCGTCGGTGTAACCAGAGCAGCTGCCGTTCGACTGACCTTTCTCTTCGCCTGCGTGCACTCACACCCACACACACACACCCACTTCGACCTTTCTTGCGTTGCTCCCACTCATCTGTCTGCGGCATCCGAGAGCAATAGGGTCGGTCGACAGCCGCTCCTAGTCATGCCAGGCCACGGCTCAACTCTCTTGTTCCTGGTGTTTACTGCCCCAGTACTTTGCCGGTTCTCCCTGCACGCGCACATTTTATTTCATTTTTTGTGTCTTTCTCTCTCTTGCTCTGTCGCTCCCTTCATGCGTGTCAACGTCGACAGCTGTGAGCTACATATCTTAACTCATCGCAGCCGTCTCTGTTGTCGCTTATCCACTGTCGGTGAAACTGTAGCACATTGATGTACAACTACAGTCAAGTGCGATGTGAAAGAGAACACCGACCTTGCACTGTGTAATAGTACTATGCGTCAACAGTGTGAGGTTGTGCGCTTGGCAGAGGATTGTGTGCCAGATATTTGACCATGGTGCAGTGCTGTACAACTATAGCTCAGCAGGATATGAAAGGGAACGCCGACCTGGCATTGTGAAATAGTAGTGTGCATCAGTGGTGTGAGATCGTGGACTTGGCAAACGAATGTGGCCATATAATTGCATGCTGGAATGCTTGGCCTTGCTTGATACGTATGCGCGTCACTCGTGAAATGCGTCACACTTTTGTCCAAACTGGATGCTAACTTTTATGTGGCGCAACGCTGAATACATCTCCGCTCCACGCATCGGTTTTCAGAGAGGGATTCCACCTATAGTTGGTCCATTTGCGTCGAACGGTGTACCTCTAGGCACTGGTTTGAGGACGGAGATCTCTAGCGCTTTGCCAAGTGGTGTGGCTGGAGATGCCAAGATAAAAAAATACCTAGTTTTTTTGTTTTTTTTTTTTCTGAATTTCTCAAGTAAGACAAGTGTGGTAGGGTATCTGGTTCCTCACCCCCTAAAATTGGCTTGGCCTGGTACCAGGTAAAAAACAAATCCAGCTCTTGAAAGAATGTGGCACAAGCTATTTTCATCTTATTTGGCCACCTGGAAGCTCGCACGCTATTTTCGTTTCAAAAGAAGCAAATGCGCACTTCAGGCTAGTAGAAAGTACAACAGACCTGACAAATGCACTGCTTATATTTACAATTTACTGTTTGGTCCTGTGCACTCCTTTATTTTCATTTGCTTCCTTTAGCACATCTCTCATCATTATTAATGGTGCAGTGCTCATTTACCGATTTCGCATTCTTCCACTGTGTTTCGATGAACTGAACATCAGTTTTATGCATGGCTTTATCGACTGCTGAATGAAATAATACTGCCTGTGCTTATTGCCTGGCTTGCAGTACGAAAATCATAACCGCATTCGCAAGTTGTTCTAGCGACAAGTGGTTTGCCTTTAAAACCACAAAGCAGCTAGTGTGTATCGCGCTTTCTTTTTAAAATCTGGTCGAGTTAGTGCACGAAAATAGGTAGCTGCTTCACAAAAAAAACCTGTCATTTTCATTTTAAAGCAGCCTTTTCGAAAGTGATCTGTGCGATTAGGAACTTGCTGAGTGAAATATTTGGGGGGGGGGGGGGGAGTTGTGTGGCTTTAGATATGAGCCTTGAGCCGCTGTCTGATATTAGAAAGTAGTGAAAGAAGTCGGGGAGAAGTTAACCGCACCACATTGGGATAATAGTCAGGTGCTTATTTCATGCCCTGAAATGAATTCTCCACCCATGAGTGAGGTAAAGTACGCTCACGGACAAGATTCTGTGGCTGTCTAGATGGACCGAAACAATCTCGTGCAAGAGTGCTGTTTTGCAGTCTTGCTGCATTATAACGTATAAAATGCAAAATATGATTTCATTTTGTTTCTTTTGGCTATTTACAGCGAAATGTATTATTAGAGTTCACATCAGCTTATGGGCAAAGCCCAAATGTGCATAAATGCGCTATGTGTGGTCAGAAGTAGATTTGTAGAACTGCTCCTTCGGTGTCTCACCTTGATGGCAAAGTTTGTGAAGTTGTGATGTATTTAATTAATTTTAGCTTCTCAGAAGCATTCATTTTCCCGGTGAAGTAGACGCTGTTGAAAGCATAAGATATAGAGTGACATTCGAATGTGTCACTGTTTCATCTGGTAAACAGGAGAGACTAGAAGAGCACTGTGTGATGAAGTGCACCTGTCTCCTTCTGTTGCTTCTTGCAAACTGAAACATGCAGAAATTATCACCGAAAATGTTCTTCCGTTAAACGTTTTTCATTATTCGCGGCAGTATCGATGCAAGTACAGAAAAACAAAGCGCAAAATGTAAACAGCTGTAACAGCTTGGCGTTCTAGTGCAAGCACGGAAGTTACACCTTACACCGTTGGACACCGTGTCTTATAATAACATTGTGGTTTTGGAATGTAAACTTATTTGCTCAGTCACAAAGACTTGTGCGTGAGCGTACAGGTAAGAGCACTTGTAGAGGGCACGAAAAGAGCTTGTGTCGCTCTAGATGGGTGCTAGAAATGGTATGGCCGGCTAAAGCATTTCCAGTTTAGGTCTCACTTAGTGCTAGCAGATATCTTTATGCCTCGTTTTACTGTGTTTTCTTGACATATACATTTTTTCTTCTGAACCTGCATTTTCGATCACTTTATGTCTATGATCTCTGTTTTTCCCTTGAGCCTTTCTACTCTCTCTAGCATAAGCTCACTATGCAAGCTAGCCTCGGCGGATTTTCATGAAGCGAGAGCTAAAGCTCAGGGAAGGGGAAAGGACAGCGCTTTACTGCGAGATGCGATTTCTCTTTGCATGTTATCTTGGAAGACTGGAGTCGGGGGAGCTGTCAATATACGTTGCTGTTACCTGTCGTCTTGGCACGTGAGCAGTCTCTGTGTTGCGAGACGCTTAGCAGCTAGCTTGTTGACAGACATCTGAGAAACATTGACGTTTTGTCCGAGTATTTATGCACCAGGTTTCTTGTGAAGATAGAAAACCTTCTTCTGCGACTGTGGCTGGTGCATCCAAATTTTCTCTCATTTTTGCTCAGCTCCGGTTGTGATAGCGTGTGGACTTTGCTCACAAGGGCTGTTGAGACCTATCTCTTGATAAATTTTATATTTCACCATCGCTACAGCTCTCCTGAAGGCAGTGGTTATAGCCGGCAGTGTGAAGTTCATAAGCGCAGGTATGGATGCGAGACTAAAGCAGGCCACGAAGATAAGTATCGGAGGGAAGATGTTTTCGGTTTACTGGGAACATGTTGCATACTCATGTGCAATTCTTTTGATATCTTCAGGAAAATAAAAAAAAAGACAGCTTACTCTTCATAGAGTGTGCTGCACATAGCAACTTAAAGCTAGTGCACCCTAGAGTAGGCTTGAGTGTTGTACCATATAGCTTATTGTGTTATAACCTTCGTCTTAGCCAGTCCCTGATGCTCAAGGGAAAGGCCCAGAACTCTCTTCGATGCAGGTGCACCAGCACTCAATCAAAGTACACAAATCGTGCACCTATTGCTGTATGTGTCCAATTGTCCAGTTCTTTTGGTGCTGATTAGAGGGGGAAAAGAAGTCCATCCATCCAGCTAATCATTTATTAAGCAATTAATGATTTGCACATTCCCTATGTCCAACTCTCTCCTGCCCTTGCTTTTCCAACCTCTCGCTACATGGTCTTGTCTCGCATGCTTTTCTCGCACTCTTGGCGAGTGAGCCGACAGTACTTACGGCAGGCATACAGGTCAATGTGTGGATCTGTGATCACTCTCTTTAGATATTTGAGACAAGCGTTCCAAGAGGGCTGCCTGACTGTGTCCGTTGCAGTTCAGAGATCATAGAAAAAACAGTTTGTGATGGTGAAAGTGTTTTCTTAGGACTTCCGACATACCTTCCAATAGTGTTCTTCCCACTGTTGAGCTTTGTGCATGTGTGTGTGTGAAAAGTGTAGGCAGAGGTACCACTGTGAGAGGCAGTGCCCGATCACCGTTTAAAACTATGAAGGCATAAACTTGCTTGCTAATTGCCGAAACATGCTAAGTGGTCCTCCTGAGAACTTTTCCACTTTTGTTCTGAGAAGCGAAGGACGCTTGAATTCGGGCATTAAATTTCACATTGGTCCTCCTCTTACACGCTGGAAACGAGTGCCGAACACGCTGCAGCCTTGCAACGTTTTCTGCAAGCGCCACAGAGCTTCGTTCTTCTCTTTCCTGAAAGTCTACACCACAGCAAGTATTGCCTCAGAGTGTGCGTGCGGGCTTGCAGTACAATTTTCACGCTTACAAGAAGGACCACACGCCTCTTTTCAGCAAGAGGGTGATGCCGTGTATGGTCTCGAACCTCGCTGGCTATATTTTCGCAGCCAGCAATTTTTTTTTATGGCAGTGCCGTAAGGTGTTGAGAGTGTTGTCTGCCTTGGCTCGTTTCGGTAGCCAAAGGCACGTGCGCACAGCCCAGTGTGATAAGTCGAAGGACCTGTACCTGGCCTGTTTCTATGACGATTGCTCACAGACATTCATCGCTTTAGGGCGAGATCGAAAGAGGATTACGCGAAGCTTTGCGCATTGACAGTGCGCGTGTGCCATAGGCAGGATTGATGTTTCTAGAAACACGGTAGTTCACCGTGCCGTCACTTTTCCAAGGAAGGGGATAAAGGTGTTTTTGTCAAAAGCTCTCTGAGGCATTCATTCCACAAGACTACTCGGTCCCGAAGCTCACATCCCTGCGTGGTTGAAATGTCCTTGGGATATCTCTTCTGTACTACTACTACCTTTTTTTTTTTTTTTTTTTTTTGAAGTGAAGGAAATTGTGTCTTCTTGCGTGCGTGCATTTGGAGTGTGCTGCCTGAAGACGAGAAAGCATTGTGGGATTGTTGTCAGATACCACAACTGTGTGTACAAGAAGAAAGCGTATATGCTGCATTGGAACTTGTTGTCAAGCTGTTGTAAATAAAATTGTACATAAACATGCAATAGCAACATAGACAAATAAAAACATTGATCCAGACATGCTCATTCCTTGACTCCCTTGCATGCCAGGAGGCATCACGGCTACCACACACATTGATTCAGTGTTGCTGACTGCTTTTTTTTTTTTTTTCATCATTGATAGAAAAACAAATGGGGTGCCATGATTCCGTGTGAAATTTTGGCACATACAACCTGGCATTTCAGGTTCAACAGCATTTCTTCTTTACAGTGTTCTTTTACATAGTTCTTATGCAATGTTGTGAATGCAGTTTCTTTCTGACCTAGTAGCCAGTTCCCTGTAGTTACAGCAACCTAAATATGACGCCCACGGTAACCTTTTTTCTGTTTCTATCATATGTTAGCCGTGGGCATTTGGTTAACTACGAAGACGCACAATTGCAACTCCACACATTCGAGCAAGAGCATGCATCTTGTGGTCATGTGCATTTGAGTGAGAAGAAATAAATGCTTCTTGGCATGCGTAGCATCATAATGGGCTAATACCCAAAATGGCAGCCATGATCTCAGTGAAAGCTACGGTGTGCACAAAGTTGCACACGGTAATTCTCAGACATGGAAGTACACTAAGCATATGCGTAAGAGTTTTTACATTTTACACTTTTGTCCTTTTGGTAGAGGATGGCAGAGTGGGGAGGGAAAGCTTCATAAGTGCTTTATAAAATCGTGGCCCATTTCTAGCACATGCAAGAAATGGGCCCTATATTGGCTGACCTTGTGTAAGTTTTTCACTGTTCTAGCAATGTATATTTACTTTGCCCCATAAGCGTGCACAGGATTCCTATTGGTTGGTGTATGGGTAGGCTTTGCACTCCTCTCCATCACAAATGACTAAAGCAGTAGCGCTCCTCCTAATCTCATAGCTATGCCTAAGCTTAAAATTGATGTGGCAGCTTGTCACACTGCTGTGACTGCTCCTTCTGATGAGCTTTGTTTTCAAATTTTAGATGAGCTAGCATTTGGCAGTTTCCTTGTGGAAATATTAGATATTGTGACGCTGGGCGTGGAAACTGCTGTAAGGGGGGTGGCATTTATTGAAAGAGAGCAAGTTCAATATTATGTGGGTTGGTTTGCCATTGAGAAAGATATTTTGTGTGTGTGTGTGTGTTTGTTCATCACATTTGCGTTTACTATAATGCTTTCCTTTTTTTTTTTTTGACAAATTTAGTCGTGCTCTGTCTGCACTCAAACATGGCATATAAAATGTTGGAAACGCTACCACTTCATTCATTCATGTGCTATACGGAAACCATACATACATAGCCTCAGTCCCATGAAACCATAAACTTTATGCATGAAACACGAAAAAAGCTATTTTGAGTCAAATAGTGCAGATGCGTTGGTTGCCCGTCTGGCCGTTGGTTAGCCCTGCTTACGTGACGAAGTTGGCTAAGCAACGTCTTGAATAAGACCAAACTAAGAACTTTTCAGACATTTTCAGAATTTTGTTTTGATAGAATTAGAAATAAAAAACAAGCTATTTTAACTGTGTTTACAGCAAGCTTGGTCGACAGCTTGATGCCTAGTATAGGAATTAAGCTAGATAATACAGGGACTGAAGTAGCTCCCGCGATATGTCTTTCCTGTTTTTCTCCCATTTGCTACATCAGCAAGTCGTCATGCAGGTGGCCCAGCAACAAAAGTACATCACTAGCATATATATATCACCCGTGTCCTTACAGTAGCATCTCACAGTAGCATCTTCACTCTGCCAAAAACATCTACAAAACCTGTGGTACATGTGCATTAGTCCATTTGGCAATCACAGAATAAGCTTAAGCTTTCCGGGGGACTGACGCACCTTCTATGCGGGTAGTCTATAGCCGGCGGTTTCTTGACCACCCTGCCATTTTAGCCACTTCAGCGCATCTCGGAAAATAAGAGTGAGAACAGTACGTGTGACAGACAACGACTGCAGCAAACAACGCACTCGCAGTGTATGCATAACATTTCCTTTCAAGCTCGCCAAACGACGTCGTTCGCTTGGGGCGCTAGCGGCGTTTGCCTCTACTGCCAATTAAAGTCCCTGGATACTTTAGGAAAGTACCGCCATTCTTTTAACCGAGCCGCCGCGCCGCAACTGGCAGCCTGAAGGCCGCCCACAACGCTGCATTAGAATTTTTTAAATATTATTTTACTTTTTGGCCTTACCACCACCGCGCATAATCCTCCTCGCCTCTCGGGCCGCGACGAGCATCGCGCGGGTTATCAGCGTGACATGAGCGTGAAATAGCATTCTTGATAGGAAAGTGGCACGAGCCGGGTTATAGGGCCGGCATCCGCACGATGACTGTTCGGAGGAAGATATAGATTAGGTCTGGACACTAAGAAGAGGAGGGTTGGACACTTTGGAGAGGACATGGAGGACAGTGTCGCTACTTTTCTCTGTAGAACCGCGCGTCAGTAGTCCGGGCGCGCCCATTTCAAGCGGCGAGTTGTGTGCGTGCCGCTACGTATGGTGCCAAAGTGGTGAAGTGTGACTGAATGCTTACGTGCGTGATCTCCGAGGTCCGGCGAAACTTCGCTACGAACATAAGGCTCACCTTTGCGGCGGCATCGACCCATTCTACTTCGAAGAGCAGCGATGAAGCTGTGTACGTAAAGTGTTATCCTCGCATCGAGCTCACGGACGTTAAGGACTACCTTGCACAAGCTTCGCAACAAGAGATGAGCTTGAAGCCTATAAATCGACGAACTCCCACAACTATGTGACTAGCGGATTGGTCCAAAAGCCACGAGGGCCACGACTTTGTGACCTCGCAGACGGCCACCGCGTCGTCTGCACATCGATGCACATCGACCATGGCCTGTAAAAGTTCCGAAACCAAAACTTGAGAAGCTATAGTGTAAGTAACAGTCATGCGTTATAGCTCCAAGAGCTAAAATCAGTAAAAGCACCTTTTTGTTTTTTTTTAACAAAAAGGTTTGATTTGTAGGTTTTCTATTCATTTATAAACCACCAACATCTTTGCCGCTGGTGTCGCTAGCTGCGCGGCGCGCTAGCACATGGCGGCAGCAAGCGATCGCAGGGCGTGTGGCTGCAAAATACGAAGAATTTCCTGAGGCTGCGTTCGCCCGAAGAGCCAGTACCATGGCAGGTGCGTATGCCTATTTCATGTTCGTGTCATTACTCACAATTACGGAGTACAAGTCCTTGACAATATGACTGCGGGAACCCATCCACTCTGGCAACGCACTCGAGGGATTTCTGCTAGTTTCACGGCCTAAGTAACCTTGCGCCTACAGATTTGCATTCCTTCAACATTTTTAGTATTATTTCTTTTGTGCGCGACCACTACGCATCATTTCTTTCGAAGAACGTCTGTGTAGTACTCTAAATAGCGTTTGTGGTCGATTGATGATTTGGGCAGAATGAGCACCGCTCTGATCGTTTACCTTATAGTGGGGAATTTTCGAATAGGGGCCCTGTAAGTTTGGGGCCCCAAAGCCGATTGCGTGTGCTTGCTTTGGGTCAAGCAAAAGCTAAGAGTTTTCCGATAGGGTCTGCGTCTTTGTGGACACTCCGCCTATACTAGGTCACTAGCCGTCGCTTCAGTGGGTTACGTCACGTTTGCCTGACGCAAAGCTTTTGAGGCAAGCTTTGTGGCTCCCGCTAAATTCTAGAAATAGCTTCCCCAACGCAAAACCCAAACCGTGTTTGGGTTTTGCGCTGTGGCCTCGACGCTATTTTCGGGGGGCCTCTATTCGACGAAAAATTCAAATCTTGCTTGGGTCTCACGTGTGCACAGTGGCATCGCCGCTATTCTCTAAGCTTGCGAAGGGGCCAATAATGGTCGAGAAATTCTATGCGGATTAGGCCTGATGGCGATCAAAAGGCAGACTCTGACGCCGGTGTTAATTTTTATGGGTTTCGCTCGACTGTCAGTAAAGCATAGTTTCACTTAGCCAAGGACTCTTAAAGTTTGTTTGGTGATTAGTGAGTAAAAGCCATGAAATTCCCTAATTTTGGAAGTTGGCTGGTTTATGTATGCATTTCTTGCCACTCTACATGTAATGAATTAAATACCTCATTAAAACTTGCAGTATATAGGTACGGGGGAGGGGGGGTAGAAAGTTCTGAGGCCTCGCTTCCACATGAATACATTTCATGGAGTATGTTACAATGATGATGATGATCTCTGTGGTCTTCCCCTTTATACCGGGGGGGGGGGGGCACCTTTTAGTGTCCTGATTGGAACGAGAAACAAATAAATAAAAAAACGAAAAAAAGGAAAGAAAAATCACACCAAGTCCATGAACATCACAATTGTTCACTGTCTCCTTGACCACCACTGTAGATGTCTTGCTTTGGTTATCGCTGTCGCTCCCAGGGGGTGCACGTTGGTATCGCGGCTGTCGCCTCCCGGTGCGCCACAGTCTTTCACAAAACCGAGTGCCTCCGGTAGTGTGGCGCCATCTGTCTGACGGGGACGCAGGCGTTCGCAGTGAAGCACCAGGTGTTCAATGTTCTCCTCGTCTTTCCCGCATGTCCTGCACTGCACAGTGCCGTCGGCCAACGACGGGTCGAAGTGACGGCGATACACCTGAGTACGGGGCGCTCCAGCACGGGCTTCAAACAGAAGCGCACTGCCGACATTATTGACGTATAATCGTTCGGCGGAGATGGTTGTCTTGTGAGCTCTGTATAGGGCCAGGCTGGGTTTCTTCTCCATAGCCGCCTGCCACATCGGCGTCTCAGCTTGCTGCACTCTATTCCGTACTCCTACTGCCCGTTTCCTCTCACTGTCCTTCTGGACAGGCTCAGTAAAAAGGGAGTACTTGCGGCACAGATTGTGGAGACGCCTGCGCCATGGTGTGTTCATGCCCTTGATAGCTGTGTATCTAAATACACGACAGGCCCACCGCTGGTCGTTCATGAGGTGAAGACGTCCTTCGTAGGCCGCCTTGCTCCTTGCCTCGTGTGCTTCGTAACTTGACCATCCTAGGTCGCCTTGTAGAGCTTCGACAGCTACACGTCCATGACACGCCAGCGCCAGTCGCCCGACCTCACGCTGACCTCTTTCCAACCACTGGCGTGTTGCTGCAGACAGGCAGATGACGGCGTTGGCGAATGTCAGCACTGGCACATGTACTGCCTTCCACAGTTCGCGCACGTGTACAAACCGGTTGCACCCCCACAGACTCCGCCGTCGCAGCACGTTGGCGGCCCTCACAGAAGCCTGTCGAACGTGCTCCTCTTGCTTGTCATAGATATCTACGGGAGGTGCAAAGGTTGACACCGAGATACCCGTACTGGTTTGATACCGGAGTGCTTCCTCCGTCGGGAAGCTGCACATCAATGGTCTCCACGCCTGAAAACTGCAATATGGCCGATTTTTCTGCATTGAAGTGAAGGCCCAGACTCTTCAGGTGGTCGGCCGACAGTGTTACCAACCTCTGAAGGTCACTGCTGCGCTCAGCCAGTAATACTAGATCATCAGCGAACACCAAGCCGGGCAGCGTCCAGGTCTGCGCCACCCCCCCAATCATGAGTAGGAACGCGAAGCCAACTCCCGATTCCACAAGTGCCTGCTCGAGTCCCGCCACATGTAGCATGTATAGCAGCGGAAACAAAGGGCAGCCCTGCCTGAGTCTTCTTGTCACCCTCACAGGCTGTGTTCTGGTGCCTCTGAAGCATGCTACCATCGAGCTATCTGCATAGAGCCGCCAGAGAAAGTCTGTCCACACGCTCGGCATTTGTCGTTGGTCTAACTGGTGTAAAAACTCCTCGTGTGGCACACTTTCATAAGCCTTGGCGACATCCAGAAAGCATCCAAGCAGACCTCTGGTTTCTCTCCGTGCCACCTCGATGGTCTGGGTGAGCACGAAAAGATTGTGTTCCAAGCGTCGGTTCCGTCGGAAGCCATTCTGGAGTTCCGACAGTATGCCCCTCTTCTCGGCCCAGCCGCTCATCCACACCTTCAAGACTTGAGCGAAGAGTCTATATAGGACGCTCGTCACCGTGATTGGTCTATAGTCGCCCAGCAGTCCAGCGTCGCCTCCTCTCTTAAACACGAGGCTTACTCTGCCGCATTGCCAGTCGGGTGGGATTGGGCCATTCTTGAGGATGGTATTGAAAATTCCCGTGAGGTGTTCTTGAGCAGACTTCCCCAAGCATTTCACAAGGCCCGCCGGTATGCCGTCCAGTCCGGTAGCAGTGCTTGCACTGATACGCGGGAGTGCACACTCAAGAGCGATCCTCGTTATCTGCCAATGGTCCTCTTCACTTGGTTGGTGAAGCTCATACGGGTCGTTTACTGCTGAGGTCGATTCGTCGTGTGTGGGATTGAAGAGCACTTGCATGTTGGTCGTAAGGTGCGCTGCGAGGTAGGTGACAGGTTGGTTGCTAGAGTGGTGTCGAATTTCAGGTTCCGGAGTTTGGCGATCTAACGAAGACACATATTTCCGAAATTTGTTTGCACCGTTACGCCCTGCCTCTGTGATAGCTCGCAATTGTCTGCTATTGTACTGAGCTATTTTGCTTTGTACGATGATCCGCATCTCTCTTTTGAGGCGGAGGTATTCCTCCCAGGTACTCATGGACTCCTCTCCGGGTGATGTCCTAACAGCCGCTCTGTGTAGGCGATTCGCCGTTCATCTTGCAATAAGGGCCCCTTGTACCTCTTCGTCCCACGAGCCTTTGCGCCTTAGGCCGCCGCGGGAATTTACTCGAATTTCGTGCTTCTTCATGATGCGTCGCAGTTCAAGCACAAATTGATCATATGTTGGTGGTTACGTCGGTTGAAAGTTCTGCTCGAATGCTTCCGCGACTGCCGCATACTCCGACTGCGGGAGGTGCCTCTCAGCTGGGTTGCGATGTTCCTTCGCAATGGTTCGCCAGGAGGATCGAGAAAAGCTCAACTTGATTTGGTTGTGGTCACTTCCTATGCTGAATTCACCCTTTTCATCGATGTTCATGTGGACGAGACGTCGTGCTGAAGCAGGTGTCGCAAGCACGTAATCAATACAGCTGCGACTGTTCCTGGCGCTCCAGGTGTACTGTCCTTCACATTCTGGACGAAGAATTAGCACATCTAAGGTGAGTGTAAGTGCCAGTGCCAGTAGTAGTTCCCCAATGGTATCTTGGAAGCCATCCAGAGCTTGGAGGTGCCCATTGAAATCTCCCATAATGAGAACCTCTCGCTGGCTTGCCCATCTTGCCACGTCTTCCCTGATGCACTGTGCCATTCTTGAGTTTCCAGCATCTGCTCCAGCAGATACGGCAAAGTAGGCCACCCCTACCAGGACTGCCAGCCCTTGCAGGTAGCCTTTGACCCACATATGCTCAACACACGGGCTGTCCAGTTTCTTCCAAGCTGACCTAGTTTTCCACAGGAAACTTATTCCTCCCCCTTTCCTCGATTCACCTGAACGGTTCAAGCCAGCTCACTGCCAACTTTTATGTACTGGTGGCTCTTCCATGACTCGAAGGTGTGTTTCAGCCACGGCATATATCTCTATGTCTTCGTCACCTATCATCTGATATAGTTCTTCCCATTTGCTCGCCGTTCGAGCACCATGTAGGTTAAAGAAGCCTACACGTATGTCCTCGTTCTTCTGGCGGCTGCGGCGACGGCGGGCCGTCTTTTTCTTTACGTCCTGTGCCAGGGGCGCTTCTGCCTCCTCTGTGGATTGGCCATTTGTAGGATTGCCTGTCCCAGGGCAGTCATCATGGAGGTTGTTGGTTTCACCCTCCATGCCCTGTGCTTGTAGTTGCCCGACGGGCGAAGCCCTAAAAAAGCACGTAGTCTGCGTCCCAATCGTTGCCCTAGTTGCTCGGCGACGTATTCACCGTAGGAAGTTCCATTCATCTTATCCTGGAGAGCCTTTGTGACGCTGACGAACTCCACGCGCGTTCCAATGTCTGAGCAAATTTGACGTAGGTTTTGATTCCACAATTCGCACTTTATCCGCATGGTATCGTCTTTGGGTCCTACTTCTGGGACGCCGTACACCACGAAAAGGTGGCCTTTGGCTCTTGCCTTCCAGGAAGTTATTTGGGACTTGAACTTCTCAGTTGAATCATGTGGAGATGTGTCGTCTTGGATGTCGCTGAGACCGGCGTGCAGAACCACTATGGTCTCTGTTGAATCTCAGA